ATGGAGGGATCACGTGCTGGGTCCTGCTGTGCCAGCCTCAGCTGGTCCCTCCCCTGTGCGCCCTCAGAGTCGGCACTGTGGAGAGGTGCCAGCCTCGCCACCCTGCTGAGCAGATCCTGGGAACAGCCTTGGGCAGGCTGCCTGTGTCTTCCTCCAGGGCAGAGGAGATGCCCGGAGTGCATGGCATCTCCAAGGTCTCAGAACATTTGTTTGTGTCTGTGCAGGCATGGACCCTAAGGAAGCCACAGGACTGAGAGGCAGGATTCTTAAGCCCGAGTTTGCAGATGACTCATGTGGGAGCCTTGACATGAAAGCTTCTAGGATGCACACCCAGAGGTCCTGAGCCTGAAGGGCTAGGTTAGGTCTGGGGAATTTTCACTTTTGACAGGTGATCCAGATGGTACAGGGGCAAGAGTGGCTTGGTGTGCTGGGAGAAGCCGGCCTGGAGCAATGGCGCTTCCTGTCTCCTTGGCTGCAGGCACCATGGATAGAGTCTTGGCCGTATCCACCCAGGGCTCTCCTAGTTTCCAGCACCTTCTGAATTCCCGTGGTCTCTGGAGACCCAGCAGCTTTGTGGTAAGGCTTAGAGAAAAAGTCTTCTGTGCACACACTAGCCTGTTTTGATTTGGGAGGTTTTGTTTTTCCTGAAGGGCTGGCGAAAGGCCGAAGTGGAGGGGAGGTGCTGTCTAGAATGTGAGTGTTTGTTTATATCTCAATTTCTGATGCTCAGCTAAGAGTCATCGGTGAAAATGGGCTTGTGGGCACATTCTGATTTTCTCAGTACCTGGATCTCCAGTAACTCCTTGCTCTCTCCCTCTCCCCACCTCTTACTCAGATGAGCAGGTGGTAACCACGTGTAAGTGTCTGTTAGTGATGGAGAAAGAACCTCAGACTTTCAAGTTAGCTTGTTGCTACACCAGCTGCAAATGTCAACAGGCCTGGGCACTGATGACGGGAATGAGAGGCTCTGTTCCCATCGATGGGGGAACACGTGCTGGGGGCCCTTATCACGAACTTCTGCTTTATCTTGATTTTGTACACATTTGTCACTGTCTTTCCTTCAACTGGCTCTCTGAGCAGTGTCAGCTGGGCATAACACTTTCCTGTTACCTAGAAAGACCAAGAGCAGCATTCCAGTGGAGACCCAAGACCTGAATTAATTTCCAAAAGGGTGGAATTATTTTTCTTTCTAAGTCATGATCTATTACTCTTGGAATTCTCATTTCTTGTTCCTGTTTCTGAAATAGACCATGGACTGGCAAAGGCTAAGTAGGTGCCTGGAAACCAATGTGTTTGTGTCCATGGACCGCCCAGAAGGGGATGGCCTCCTGGAGGCCTTGGTGTCCACTGACACCTCTGGGGCCTCTGGAGCACTCCAGACTGGCCACGTCTCAGCTGACCTTGTTCTCTGAGAAAGAGGGGCCTCTGCACCTCCTTGTCCAGGCCACACTCAGGATGTGGGATGTTATTAGCAAAGATAAGAGTTTCAGCCAAAAAACTGACAGTTCTTTTGGAACTGGCTGGCCAAGAAGATGTTTTTTCAGGTTCTTTGGGGCACAGGGCAGGATGAAGAAGAATAGTGAAGAAGATGGTTGACTTATTTACTGTTCAGGGCTCTATATGAGATTATTTACAGTAGCCAAAATAAGAAAGCAACCTGTGTCCATCGACAGATGAATGGATAGAGAAGATGCGGTACATATGTGCTATGAAATACTACTCAGCCATGAAAAAGAATGCAATTTTGCCATTGTAGCAACCTGGATGGACTTGGAGGGCACTATGCTTAGTGAAGTAAGTCAGACAGAGAAAGACAAACACTGTGTTATCACTTATATGTGAAATCTAAAAAAATACAACAAACGAGTGAATATAATAAAAAAAGAAGCAGACTCACAGATATAGGGAACAAACTAGTGGTTACCAGTGGGGAGAAGGAAGGGGGAAGGGGCAATATAGGGGGTTAAGAGGTACGAGCTATAAGGTATAAAGTAAGTTACAAGGATATATTGTGCAGCACAGGAAATATAGCCAATATTTTATAATAACTACAAATGGAGACTAAAGTTTAAAAATTGTGAATCACTATATTGTATACCTATAACTTATATGATATTGTATATCAATTATACTTCAATAAAAACATTTTAAAAAGGAATCTACAGGAGAGAGGACTTATTCTGTTCCAGGTCTCTGGACCAAGTTGGAGCCATATTTTCACTTAATGGGGAAATTTACACACGGGGGAAATGTTTTCTCTCCTGTCCATGTAAGTCATGTGACTCTTTCCCACTTCCTTTGTCCTTGACAACTCATCTGTTAATCCAAGACACTTAACTTGTATTTAATTTCTCTTTGTCTTTAAAAAATGTTCCCCTCCCTCATCTCCCAAGTTAGAGGCCTCTATTCCAGCTGAGGGAGCGAGTCTTCATGTGTTTTCTCAGGGATGAAGTTGGATGTCTTTTCCAGATCTCAGGAAAGTAGTATAGCCAAGACGCCCACCAGTCTCCAGAATGAGCCTTCCACTCGTTGTGACTGGTGCTGACCATTGAGTGGGGGCCATGTCTCCTTAGTTACGCCTCCCCTCCTGCCCTCTCCCCCTCCCCTCCTTCCCCTCCCACTCTCGGCAGGATAATAGTCCTTCATACGTCCTGCTCTCCCGATGGCGTTCCTACATCTGATTGGCGGGAGTGTGGTGGGATTGGCTAGCCCTCTGAGCCTACTTGAGTGTGTGGACCACGTTCTAAGGCACCGTCTCCTCTTGTGTTGCTGGTGGCTTGGCTACCCAGTGACCTGCTCTGCCCAGTTCCATCCAGATGTGGCCTTCAGGGTTCCTGGAGTTGGACCAGAGCCTTATGAATTAACTAACAGTGACCCAGCTCACCTGAGTCCTCCACTCGGCCGAGCCTGGCCTCCAAGCTGCTGAAGGGGCATTCATCCTCATTTCATGCAGGGAAAACAGCAAGAAGAAAAGGCACGCTCGCAATTTAATATAAGGAAATGTCATTCCACGCCCCCTGTATTGCTCCTCAATTGAAAGCAATGGGGATCTGGGCCGAGGGGAGGAAAGTGGTCACGTAACCTGAATCATAACCCTCAGCTCCTATTTATCATAAAATCATTTAAGGCTCCATAAAATGTGTTAATTTGGGCTCCCGGTGATGTACGTCTTTGACTTAGGAGCTGACATTTCTGCCCAGTGGTGGCTCAGTGTGGGCCGGGAGGAGGTGATTATTCTGGACGGGCGGCTCGTGTTCAGGGGCACGTGCTGGGAGAAGCCTGCGGCCAGAGGAGGTGCCAGGAGGTCTGGGGTCCGTCTGTCGGTGCTGGGTGCTTGGTGCATGGTCGGGGGAGTTGATGCAGCTGTGGGATGATGGGGAATGCCGGCCAACCGGCCCTTCCGGTCCCGGAATTCTGCACTTGATTTCAAATTCTGAGTGTGATTTCCCTAAAAGGAAGCTGGCTTCCTCCTGGATGTCCATTATACCTGACACACTATTTATTGAGCACCTGCTGTGTGCCCAGATTGCACGATGTCCTGGGAGAAGTCGTGTGCAAGACAGACAGGGCTTCTGCCTGCAGATTCCTCCCCCGGCCTTGGGATGGGCCTTAGCATCCCTAGATGAGCAGCATACGGGGACCCCTGCAGCATCCAATCCCTCTGCCTTGCAGTGCTCGTGGGGAGCCGGCATCCTCCGCCCTAAGTGGAGGATGCAAGGAGGCACCAGCTGGGGCCATCCCAGTGCCAGCCCCATGGTGCCTCCACATCTGCCCCCTCTCTCTGATCCATTCCCTCGCCCACTCCTTCTCGGGCTCTCTTTCCTCACCCCGAGCTTCTTTTTTTATTAAATTGAAAGGTAAAAAGCCAACGCTCTGTGGAACTTCATCTTCCTGTCCCCTGTCGCACCCCCACAAGGTTTATTAAAAAACGAAACACCCAGCAAATCATTTTTATGAGCAATTAAGGGCCCCTCTCGCGGGTACATGGAAGGCTCAGCTGGCAAATGGATTTACACCCAGGGTTGAAGGCTGAGCTTGTTCCCCTGGTTCCGCCCTTCCCCACCTCCCCTGATTCCCCCATCGCTGTACACCTTGGTGGACCAGGAAAGTGTTTTTATTTGTCAGTCTCAGGAGGAATGATGGTTTATATTCTGGGCACCGAGCAAATTTATTTGCCAATATTTTCTCTTCTCCATACGAACTGTTGGTTCATAAGTTTTGTTATTACAGAATATTATTTACAGATCTCAACAGAAGGGCAAAACAGCTGGGGGAATATTTGTTTGCACTCCCTCCCCCAAATCCCTTCCAAGTCTCTAAATAAACTTTTCTGTTGATTCTGAAGGGAACATTCATCAGGCTTTGCCCGTGAGTGCGAGGTGGAGAAGCCTAATTTTTTCTTGTTTTTGGAACATTTACTCTTTATTTTGTTGCCCTTAAGATGAAACTTATCGAGGAGTTAGCGACAGGGAGGGCAGGGGCCCTGGGCTTAGTTTTCGGGGAGGAGGTGGCCAGTTTAGGGTCTCAGGGGACAGGTGGGGTAGATGGCAGAGTTAGATGGGACTGGAGGTTGGGGGGGTGCCAGGAGAAGGAAGGTTGAAGGGGAGACTAGATGTTGGGGGAACTGTGCTGGGAAGAGCTGCATCGGAAGTGCCCACAGTAACCCGGGGGGAGGACAACACCCCAGGCCTGGCTGTCGCAGCTGCTTGCTGGAGAAGGGGAGCCTGACCTCTAGGAGGGCGCCACTCCTGTACAGAGGGTTGTGAACCCGCCTGGGGATGAGGCCTGGTGTTGTGGAAACTGAGCTTAGCTTCGCGGGGCTGACAGTCCTGGCCCAGGGCGGTGGCAGTGCACCCCTTTGGACTTTTCCTCTAGGTTCCACGCTTACCTCTTCTGTGGCCTCACTAAAACGTTGCTTCTGGTAATCTGGTAAGCCGGGAAAGTTGCTGGAGTCCCTGCCAGAGTCGGTATTGTCGGTAATCCCGAAGGAGGAGACGCATCCCCAGCGGAGACTCTGGGTGGGCGGGTTGGTCTTGCTTGCCGGTGGAGAGGGTGGGGATTGAAGGTGCACCCTTGGGTGGGCCCACAGCGATGGTACCAGCTGAAAGCTACAAAAATGCTTCACAGACTGTGGTTTCTTACTATAGTGTTCATCATGGCAAGCTGATGGCACCAGGAGAAATGGAGCCCCTGGCCAGTGTGAGTCGTAGTGCAGGAGGGGAGACCCTGGAGGAGGAGAGAGCCCGCCTAAATTGATGTCTACAGATCGAATTTCCAGAGGCTTAGGAGGAGGAGTTCTCCAATGCCCTGTTTCCAGGCCTTGCTCAGGAAGCCCTGTATTCATTCAGGAGACCATCCTTCAAGGTTTTCAGATGAGCTTATGAGGGGGCAATCTTTAAAAGTCCAAAGCAGATGCATCCGGGGCCTTCAGCAGATGTGTTGCTTTGAGTGTGTAATCCGGGAACAGCGATCTCTGGGCACGTGAATGCCAGCAGGCACCTCTCCTGTTCTGGGGTGGAGGTTTTCAGGTGCTGCATCTTCTAAATTCAGCCTCTGTGCTACGAACCTTTTGCTTCCAGAGGACTCTTAAGCTGTAGAACATTTTAACGCGATGCCACAACACAGTGCTGCCTTGTAGATGGAGCTTGCAGATGCATCCCAGTGACCCTCTCATCTACCCGCCCGCCTTCCTGTGCATTGGTCGGAGGAATTCTTAGCGTGATGATATAATCTGTGTGTTGGGAAAGTGTTCAAGATTGAAATGCCTTCGGCAAATACTTAAATGAGCCAACTGGCAAATTGAGGGGGGTCATTGTACTGTGTTGGAGGTACGAGTTGGTCATGCCCCAATTGTGATAGAAATGGCAGGTCTAGTTTGGGCATTCCTACTAAGAAGGGAGTGGTCAGGGTACCGATAGTGATCTTTGATTCATCTTGCTCTATGTGTGTCTTTTTTTTTTTTTTTTTTTTTGTGGTACGCGGGTGTCTCACTGTCGTGGCCTCTCCCGTTGCAGAGCACAGGCTCCGGACGCGCAGGCTCAGCGACCATGGCTCACGGGCCCAGCCGCTCCACGGCATGTGGGATCTTCCCGGACCGGGGCACGAACCCGTGTCCCCTGCATCTGCAGGCGGACTCTCGACCACTGCGTCACCGAGGAAGCCCGCTCTATGTGTTTTTTAACTTTAACTTTGCTTGATCAGATTTCAGAGTAATCTTAGTGTTCAAATGCGAGGACCCTGAGGTGAGGGGTGGTGGGGAGGGAAAAGCCTGCCGCAGGTGCTGGGAGGGGTGGGCGTGAAGAAAGGGAGAAGGGGGTAGGCTTGTGGTTAGGTGTTGGTTGTAGAGGGTGGGAGTGGTAGGGAATGTGGGTTGAAGGGAATTCTCAGGAGAAAAGATCAGTAGGCAGAGGTCTGGGGAATTATATAGAGCTCATGGGCAAAGAAAATACTAGCTAATAGTAAATTGTTAATACTAGTTAAATTATCGCTTGGAAGCACAAAAAATAGTTGCTTGGAAACTTTCTAAAATGCTTAGAACTCTGCTAAGTGCAGGGGGTAAAGCAAAATTGCTTTGCTGCAAGATGGGTAAGACTGAAAAGGTAACTGAAGACCTGGTTATTGGTGGCTTGAAAGATTGGTGTCAGAAACTTGCATCAGCAGGTTAGCATCCTTCGCTGCTTTCAAGCTTCTTACGTGGTTTATCTGGAGATGTGTGGTATTTGGGAGAGGTCTTCGAAAAGACTTTAAATACCCATATTGTGGGCTTTTAAAGTAAGCTTGAGATTTTGGAGTGCACTTAAGATGGTGAGATGTACTCTTCTGGGTTTGCAACATTTTTTTCCACGGAGGTTTTGCAGTTGAAAACTTGAGCAAAGTGAAAATGCAATGATTTCTAAAGGAATTTTGTGTTACTTCCTGCCTTATAAGCACATCTCTTCTTTGTGATGAGTATTAGAAGCAGCAAGAGTTTTACTTCTCGTCGTCATTGTAACAAGGAGAACCTAATGACTTTGTGATCACTGTAAAATTACTGTCATGTTTGGTGGCGAACAATCCATGTAGGCTTGCTAAGGTTACGGTTAGTAATCCACTGTATCTTTAGTTTGAATGTTTGTGTTTTTTAAGTGATAACCGTATTAGAGGGGAAACTATCAGGCAAAATCAGTTTGGGAAATAAGCAAAACTGGGGATGGGGAGGTGCTTTATTACTAGATTATGGTGTGTTTGTGAAAATTCAGGGAAAGATCTGAATCCTTTGTGATAAAGTAATACCAGTGGCTTTAAAAAAAAAAAAAAAAGATGAAGCTTATCACCCGTCGCTGGCACCCAAACACTTCAGGCAGGACCCATTCGAGTTTGCCAAGAAGCTCACTCTCCAGAGAGATGACTCCTGAACCTAATTTTCTGCTACTCCATTGGGTCTCCAGTTATGTCCAGAGATCATGAAATTATCCAAACAACGTTTATTTAACAGACGCCTCCTTTGGAAGGCGACGTCCATCAATGTAACACAGAGATCATCTTTTTAAACCAAATGTTAAAGCCTGTGTTCTGACAGCATTTCCCTTGGTGTTTAAATTTATTTATACACACAGCTGTTCAAGGGTCCTAATTTAAGTCATCCGTGTGAGAAATGAAATTTATTTGAAAGAATAAGGAGATGGGAGCTGGGGACTCGGTCACTGAACACCCAAAAAGATCTGTAACTCCTGGAATCATAGAACAAGTCTGTTGTTTGAAATCAGTACCCAGTAGGGAATTGCAGCTCCAAAACCCGCTAATAAATGTTTCTTCCTTAAATCTAAAATACTCCCTTCTGGCAACCACAGATAATAACTGGAACAGCAGATTATCTTTCTTGACTTTGTGTGCTCAGTGTGGAGAAGAGGGAGCTTGGAACCTGTTGAAATCTGGCCACTTGATTTCCCTGCTCTCCTCCTGCCTCCCCGACTTCCTCCACTAAGAAGGATGCTGCAGCCACGTAGCCCCAGAGCACAAAGACTTGTGGTCCCGACCGGTCAGCTCCTACCTTGATTCTGCTCCAGAAGCAGAGCGAGGATGTAGAAGAGGTGACAGCCTGTCTCGACCAACTGAGCAGCTGTTGGAAATTTCCAGCAGACACTCACTCAGAACCTACTCAGTCGCAGCATCACTGGACAGCAAGCATCTCGCCTGCTGTGCACGGTCCTTCCACAAACACTTGGTGAAGGGATGGGGAAGTGAGTAAATGGGCTCCTTTGCTTCCCAAAGTATCAAGGATGCTTACTGCCCTCTTGCGTCTCCTTCCTAAGGACAGAGAGTCTCCAGGGGCTCAGCGTCCCTTGTGGGGGCTTGGATGTGGGTCTGTGGACATTTATGTGCAACCAGCTCTCCTCCCATACATCCTAGTAGGTGGGACGCTATCACTTATCCCAACTCAAGAAGTTTCAATCATTAGACTTTTGTCAAGTGCCTACAGCAGCGTGGGTGTGGGTGTATGGTGGACGTGATGCTTATTCATTGCAACCCAGCCCGTTTCGGTTATGAAGCTACTTTCTGCTCTGTTCACCCAGCGTGGGGTTAATTGTAGCTTGTGTTCCAGGCCTTCCGCCTGACCCTGTTTAACATGAACACCTCTGTCTGGATTTTGTGTTCCAGGAAGCAACCTATGTCGCTTCTACCCCAGGAAATCTCTATTATTATTATTGTGGTGATTGTAGGTGATGCAGGGGTCACTGAGCAAACAGTGGCCTAAGCCTCGTCCCTACATGGCCCTGAGTCAGAGACGGGTGTAGACCAGCACAGGCTGTGTTCCAGGGCTGACACGGGGGTGCCCCATGTCAACCTCTCAACAGTGCCGTGGAGAGACGGGTTTCAGACAGCTTCCCATCTGCAGAAGGGCAGTGGTAAGGCCGCCCATCCTCTCTCCCTCCCCACTCCTGCCATAGCTGGTTGACTCAGTCACACTCGGCCCCTCCCTTCTCCTCCTGACACCCTTGCTGGCTGCCAGCACCTCCCCCACACCTCCTGCGCACACCCGCTGCACCTGACCCTGCTACCCTTCTTTCCAGGAACCATCCTCACACTGGGCCCCTCCTACTGACCACTGTTCCCCTTGGGCCATCTCCTCTCCGGGTCCTGAGATCCTGCCATGACCCACCCCCTCCCTCCTCTCCCCCTGATGCTCCTGCCATGGCCCTCCCTGCCCTAACTATACCTGCTGTCCTCCTATGACTGGCTGCTCCCTTCCCACCAGCATTTCCTGCAGCCTGGTCCCAGAGTGACGGGATCTCCTGGGCTGGGGCTGGCCTGGCCGCCTGGCCCAGCCTCCCTGGGGCTGGACTAGGCTGGACTCCATCATCCCCTGTGTAGTGATGAAATGTCTGTGTCACACTGAGATTCATGGTGGAATCCTAACCCCCAATGTGATGGTGTTAAGAGGTGAGCACTTTGGGAAGTGATTAGGTCATGTGGGATTAGTGCCCTTATAAATAGGATTAGTGCCCTTAAAAAGGGACCCAGAGAACCCCCTCCACCTTTCTTCCACATGAGGGCACAGTGAGAAGACAGCCATCTTGAACCAGAAAGAGGGACCTCACCAGACACTGGATCTGCCAGCACTTTTGTCTTGGACTTTCCAGCCTCCAGACTGAGAACTAAATGTTTGTTGTTTAAGCTGCCTAATTTGTGGTATTTTTGTTACCCAGCTTGAGCTGACTGAGACAGATGTTTCTTCGACCCGGCTCCTCTCTCCTCCTGCTCGCTGGGTCCCAGGGCCGTGTTTTGGGTTCTGACATCAGAGCCACACTCCCACCTTCGTACTGAACAGCCAGACTTGTGGGAGGAGTGGGGGAACTTCATGGTGGAAATGGGGGGTGTTCCGAGTTTGCCCTGATGGGGGCCAAGGGCCTGGGGTATCTGCAGGCACTGGCCAGAATGGGGGCACCCCATGGGATTGGTTGGGGGCACACCTGGCTTTCTCTGGCTTGTCCTGAGTTGGAAGCAGAGACAAAACTTAGAGAAGCTGTTAGTTATTAATCAAGTCCTGGCCATTTTGGGGACACTTGTTACAGAAATTATTGTTTGGTCTCCTGTACTGTTACTAGAGATAATAATCTGACTTCCTATGAGTCTGACTCAGGGCAGCCAGCTTCCTGGGCTGGTTGCTGCAGGACGTGGGTCAGGGTTTTACTTTCCTGCCAGGACGTGCTGTGGTCCATTTACACAATC